TTTAAGTACCGGCCGGCTCGCACGCGCGCGCGCGCGCGCGCACCCGCGTCTACGAGCACGGTTTTTAAATACCCGATCGCCGGCGAACAGTCAATGAATATGATGCGTGTGCATGCTCGCCAGCCGGTGAACGCCGATCTAGGAGATTCGGAAACTAGAACGAACTCGAGCAGGATTTCGCTATCTGCGATCTTCAATCGGCGGGAGGCGAGGAGGAACTTTCGCGGATGGCAGACTGCAACGTATTTATCAACTGAAAAGTGTTTCGTATATATCTTTTCGTAATCTTTTTTTGTTAATAAAATTATCTATATAAATTTGTTGAAAATAATTGTTACGACGTTCTTGTAAATGTTCCTTCTTCAAATCAATTTATTAGATTCCTGTTAGACTGCTTTGTAAACTTTGTATTTTTAATTGTAGGAAGGAGTTGAATAGGATGTAATTTTTAGAATTAGAATTTGTAATCATTGCAGGTATTATTTATGGACTTCAAAGGATTGAGGACGCTGAAGACGTTAACATCACGAGGAAATAAATGAAATCTGTGATGACAAGACAATAGTTTCAAGTTGTGAGACAAGGAAGTAAATTACCTATGTCAGAACCCGTTTAATAAATATCCATCGATCTAATATTTCGACATTTCCGTAATTAACAAGGCAGACATCCTTCGGCAATTAGGCTGCTTATTATAACACTGCCCGTCATTGTTTTGCTGTGCACATATGCGCGCGTGTCCTTAGTTAGTACTTACCTTATGCAGGATATATTGCACCGGCGAGGTCGAGGCACCTTCTGTCCTAATTCTACTTCATCGACATAAGCCTTTATAAGTTAAGTTGAGTCACCTTCTCGTTAGCCCCTACTTTGTCATACAATTTCATTTCTCCGCTGGAATTCACGCGTTTACAGCAATAACGCCGATCTCTTTGATCGAAGGCGACGAATCGATCGTCCCGCCAGAAAAGGAGGAATCAATTGCAAACAAATGCGTTCATTTAAAAAAAAGTATTTTTACTCCACCTCTTTTCCCATCGAACACCAATTAATCGAACCATTAACAAAATTAATTAATTCTCGAATCACTGGAAACTCGCGTGCCAGAATTCGTCCCGTTCGGTTGCACGCAACGCTTACTTATCGGTTACATATTCGTTCAAGACACTGTTTTTCACGTGAACCATCTTATAATTAATGTTCTTCCATGACTCGTTAGAAATTCTCTGTTTCGGCTGCATCCTACGATCATCCCGGAGTTCAACGATTCTCGTTATTACTTTTCAGTGCATTGCCGTCATCAGCGATGATATCTACGACTCAACCCAATAATTCCACGAAATCCCATTTCGTTTCGGGGACTCCTGTTAATAGATTAATACAGTCATGCTTGGTGAGTGCGCGAATGAGAGTGCATCAGGTGAACAGCCATGCTACAGTTACCTACCTCGAGAACCATGAAACCTATAAAATCAGATTGAGGAGGAGAAAAGAAAACGAGGAGGACGGAGGCAAGATGAAGAATGGTAGGCAACGACAACACCGTTGAACGATTATCTTCGGAAACTTTATTTGTTACAACAATTATTGCCAGGAAGATCTCCCTCGGGGCAGCCGAGTGAAAACCCTTCGACTTACGAGTCTCCTCTCCGCAGGAGGACCAGCTCCTCCCGTTAAATAAATAGAACGCAACAATAATTTATACATATATATGTATCTTCCTTATATGTATATGTATATATATATATATATATCGTACATCGGGTGCGATCTAATTTTGCACGCGCTAGAATGAGGTATCGAGACGAGAGTGTCGCCGAGGAAAATGCAGGAACGCGCGCAGGATCGCGCCTATATAAATGCATCGACGTACATACATGACGAGTCCATCTATATGTGTACATGTTCCACACAAACATATTGTACCCCAGGACGCAACAATATGTATATACGTATATATATATATTTCTTTTCTTTTATACATGTATGTAAACATCTTCTAGTAAATATATACAGAGGGGAACGTCGCGACAGAGCGCTTGAACGTTGCCAAGCGGGCCGAGTTCCCGTGCGAATCGATGCAATCGACGCCAGCGAATTCATTTGTCTCGACGCGAGATCGCAATATCGTGTATTGCGAGCTGTATCGATTTTCTATCACCGATCTTTTAACTCTGCGATACCGTGAGTACAGGATGTTTCGTAAAATGTAACCGCTACGTGGAGAATTGCGATCGTAATGAAATCTGAGGAAAGATAGGAAGTTCGGTGATTCTGATAATCGAGAATTTGGTAGGGTAATTTTATGATAATTGGCAGTGTATCGATGCTTTTGTTAGGTGATATGTGTTTAGTAAAGGAACGATGAAAGACAGATGTACGTAGAGGATTTAGAAGATTAGGATAATGTCATTGAAATCGATCTTAGTCCTAACTGGATAGAATTTTTGATTGAATCGAATGTTCTCTTTTTATATCTGATTTTATGTAGGTAATAATTATCATCTTTATAATACTGGTAACTGAAATATACATGGCAAATAATATTCCGTGTTATTCACTGGATTTGATTTTCATTGTAAAGGTAGCGTACACTTTATGTAACAGCCTGTGTGTCTCACTTCGCAAGAAATCGAACTCGAAGAGGACTGCCGCGAAACTTGTTTAAACTAAGGAATGAATCGAACACGTCGCATTTCGTACGAGTTTCACCGGTATCCGAGGGAACTTCTCGCCGAATCACTTGCCGCGTGAATCACGATCGACGATGTAATACCCGATCCGCGCGATCGTTTATTATAGCTGCACAATTTTTACACTAAACTAGAACGACACGCGAAGAATCTTAAACGATATCTTGCTCCGGACAATTAAGGACCAGTAAATAAACCGTCGGAGTTGTACGGCTAGGACGTGACAGTGCAACATTCGCTAGGCAGTGTACGAACAGAACACGAACAGTTTTGTGAAACACGATGTCGACGCTTTTAGGTCACGCCGGAATAACACCAAAAAGAAACAAGATAATGCGAAGAAAAGCGTGGAAAACATTTAACGTCAACACGTCGATATTACTTCATAAACATTTCAATTTGAGATTCCACGACGCGTTAATAGCAGTTGGACACGAGATAGAGATACAGCGATAATGGTTTCATCGTTGGAGCAACGACGGAAAAGGAAGAAATAAGGCAGAGGACATAAATGCACGCAGTCTATCCGTAGAAGGACCACAGAAATGTTACGTTTACCGTGTGTACACGTGAACCAGAGTCCGACGAGGGAAACTGAAAATTCTAGGTGGTACACAGGAAACAAGGTGGTAAATAAATTAAATAATTTAATTGTCTAATATCGGCTCGAGACGCTTGGACCTGTTTCTTTGAGTTCTTTTCGGAAAAATCAGACAATCCGATGAGAAGACGATAGACGCTAACGAAATGGTCGTCTCGGTCCGATCACTTATTCGCTAGTATAAAATGTTCCGAAATTATCCTCCATATATATCCTTTTAGTTATTCTCGTATTTATTCTCGTTAGTTTTTTTTTGTAACTATTATCTGTGGTACCGATAGCATTGCAGGGGTGTAATCGAATCCCGATAATTTGGAAGATTGTTGAGAAGCCATAGAAGCTTCCAACAGCAATCGCACTATTTTTTTAATTGTTTAAAAGAATAGCGTTGCTTATAAAACGATCCGGCGAGCGAGAGTGATCTTGCGTTTTTTTTCGTTTCGACGGAAAAATCCATTGGAACGCGTGTCGGAAACGCGAACGGCCGTTTCCTCGGTCGGATATTTTCGGAACACCCTATAAATATAACTTTTAAGCTGCGCTCACTTATGCCTACGTGGTTTGGTGAACTTACATCAACGTCCTAATGCATTTTCACGGTAATTCCGGAGGGGGAGGGTTTTCTAAATGCGCCGACAGCGAGGGTTCACAGGCTCCGCAGTCAATTTCTCTCTTTCTTTCTCTCGTACACACAACATTTCGTGTTACTCGTGTTCGTTTTGCATTCATTTCTTTTTTTGTTTGTCTTTGTACAGAACTATCTTCGTTTCGCTTGACTACAGGTGGGTCTGAAACGGGTGCAAATAAAGAAACCAGGATAAGAAAAAAATATCGGTAAAAAGAAAGTAAAAATAAAGT